CAACCTTCGCTTCATTCTAGAGAGGCGTTAGTTTTCATGTCATATCTGTAATATAGTTTTGTTGTTTGCAATTTTCTTTTTTTTTTCCTTTCAAATATGTATCCACTCTGAAATATAGTTTGTAAATTTTTATTCCAATTTATTTTCTTATATATAGAATGAAGCGAAGGTTGGTATCCGAAGGGGCCAAAGATATTTCAGACACTATACAGTGTGTTCAACTTTGGGCACTGTCAGTATATGTGCTTCAAGGACATGAGAGCACATGCGCTGAAACACCATACGCGTTCCATCGCAAAGATCCTAAAGGCATTGGTAAGAGTATAAATGACCCATATCTTCTGCTCCTTCAGATTTCAGTCTTCCATTCATTCTGAAGAGGCATCAGTTTTCACTAAAGTTGGCTTTTGCTATGACTATAAATAATATTTGGGTTCTTGCTACAAGAGCCTGTGTTTATGCATGCAAAAGCAAAGTTGTATTAAAACAACAATCAACCTTGTAAATTTGATTTTTAAAATGGTCGAATTATCGAAAGTGTCGAATTATCGAAAGTGTCGAATTATCGAGTGTCGAATTACAGTTTGTTTATGTATTTTTTAATAAGGTCCTCTTATCTTATCTGCAATATAGTTGTATTTTTCGAAATTTTATTTTCTAATTTGTTAATTTCTTTCTTTTTTTTTTTTACTCTAATAATATTTATTTAAATCTAATAATTTTTATTTAATGCAATTTAATTAATAATTTATTTAATCCAATGTCTATAGTTTCTTCCCTGAAATTGCTTACCAAACATGAGTCGGTGTTTCCACAGTGTTAACAGTTGGAGTGTTAGAATTCGGAGAAGCAAAATAACTCCTTACTGAATTTCTCAATAGTCTCACTCCCAGAGGAATGCATCCACACCAGTTAACCTCTAGGTTGGTACTATTGTTATGCTTCTGAGAAGTTTTAATCCTAAGCAGGGTCTTTGAAAATGGTACACGTATGGTGATACAGTGCATGTGCTCTCATGTCCTTAAAGTAGTGTAGTTCTGTTGTTTGCAATTTCATTTTCTGATTTGTTAAAATTTTTCTTCTATAGTTTCTCACCTGCGGGTCCTTCGGGTAAACCCGGGCGTTGCCCGGGTCACTCGGCTAGTTTATGATATTTGCTACAATGAATGTGAAGGTTATTCATATATTAAACAAAATGTTAACGCGTGATTTGATCCCGGTTCATGGCTGTCGGGAATCGAGGGTGTTACCTACTCGTCCACCGACTTCTATATTAGTCAAATATGAAAATATTTTATATATACAGCATTTTTATGAAATTATGTAAAATATTATCTCCGATTATATATTTAACTCGTGTTTTATTGGAGAATCATTATACCATGTTTTCTCCTGTAGAAGGGCGTTCATGACTGAAAGCTAGAGATTAAAAAGGTTATTGAAAATATATTTTTCCCAAGCTCTGATATTTTTACTAAAAAAAAGTTTTATAAACATTATTTTTTATTAGTAATAGAGTAGAACCTCTCTGTAAAGGACACCTAATTGCAGAGCCAAAGTGTCCTTTAGGGAGAGGTCTCCTCTTACTGGAGAGTTGATAAATAGTAAAAATGGTAATTTTGACAGTGAAAGCTGTCCTTTATAGAGAGGTGTCCGCTAAAGGTAGGTTTTACTGTATTTTACATTTCTTAGTGCTATAAGAATCTTCGCAAATTACTTTATAAACTAAAAAAACACAATAAAGTTTGTTTTTTAACTTGAATTTTTGTTTCTTAGTAAATTGAGAAAAACTATAAACAGCCTGCTTGACTCACCAGTGCGAACCCTTCAAGCAGTTTCGCCAGTTTAATCTAAAGGCCACCTCTATCCTTAACACTAATTTTAACTTGATTTGTGAGTTTTCAAAATCAATTTTAATAATAAAAATATGCGGCGTATGATTATAAAACAACACTTAAAGTTTTACCGCATAAGTTTCTTTTCTGTGAAAAATCAATATTTATTTCAAAGAGAAATATTTACTATTTCTAACTTTTTTTTTCGATGAAGTATGAAAGGATGAAAATATGAAGAGTAATGGCGAACGGAAAAATAAAAGTGTCCAGGGGCGGGAATCGAACCCACAACGTTCCGCTTACCGGGTAGATGCCATGTCCACTAGGCTACCCTGGACGTATTTTTCCGTTCGTAAATAATACTTAAAGTAACTTATAATACATTATAAAGGACTGCGGCGTATGATTATAAAACAACACTTAAAGTTTCACCGCATAAGTTTCTTTTCTGTGAAAAATCAATATTTATTTCAAAGAGAAATATTTACTATTTCTAACTTTTTTTGGATGAAGTATGAAAGGGTGAAAATATGAAGAGTAATGGCGAACGGAAAAATAAAAGTGTCCAGGGGCGGGAATCGAACCCACAACCACTTTTATATGGACACTTTTATTTTTCCGTTCGCCATTACTCTTCATATTTTCACCCTTTCATACTTCATCCAAAAAAAAGTTAGAAATAGTAAATACAAGGTGCGTTCATTAATTTCCAGGACTGGTTAAAAAATAAAATAAATAAAAAAGTTGAAGAATTTTTTTTTATACAGAGTTAAATATTGGACATTCGACCACACCTGACTGAAAGCACGAGTCTCATGGCGCACGCGCCGATCTAAAAATAGAACAAAACAACTTCCTTGTAAGGTTCGCATTTCTAATTTTAAAATGGCCATTTTTGAAGAGCAGAGAATCTGCATTAAGTTTTGTTTTAAATTGGAAAAAGTGCTACTGAGACGCATGAAATTTTAAAGAAGCTTTTGGCGATGCAGCTTTATCCCGTTCAAGAACTTTTGAATGGTTTTCACGCTTCTTAAAAGGTCGTGAAAAGGTAAACGATGATCAGCATACTGGGCGTCCAAGATCATTACGTTGCGAGGAAAACAAGCTCAAAATAAAGGAATCAATTAAATCTAACAGAATAATTTATATTAAAGACTTATCTTCAGAGACTGGACTATCTGTTGGACTGTGTCATCAAATAGTAACAAAATATTTGGACATGATCCGGACGTCTTCAAAATTTGTTCCCCGGATTCTAACAGAAGAACAAAAGGAGGTTAGAATGGATATCTGCAAAAGCATGGTTGAAATGACTCGGACCGATCCAGAATGGATGCAAAAAATCATTACCGGGGGTGAGACATGAGTGTATCAGTATGACCCGGAAACCAAACGCAATCCAGCCAATGGATTGAAAGAGGGGAACCGAAACCCAAAAAGGCAAGATTTAAAAATCCAAAGTCAAGACACTTTTACATTTTTAGATATTAATGGTTTGGTTCACCATGAATTTATTCCTTTCGGACGTACAATCAATCAAGAGGTTTATTTGAGGATAATGAGGCGCTTAAGAGAGGCAGTGCGCATTAAAAGACCTGAAAGATGGCAAAACAATGACTGGATACTTCACGTCGATAATGCGCGGCCGCATACAGCTCATGTTGTTTTGCAGTTCTTGGCCAAGCATTCAACCATACAGATCCCTCATCCACCCTATTCCCCCGACTTGGCTCCCAATGACTTTTTCCTCTATCCTAAATTGAAAATGAAGTTAAAAGGAAGGAAATTTGACAACGTTGATATGAAACAAGCTAAATCGAAGGCAACCTTGAGGAACCTCTCAAAAAGTGATTTCATCTCCTGCTCCGACAATTGGAAAAAAAGATGGAACAGGTGTATTGAGGCAGGAGGGGCATATTTTGAAAAATATTAAATTAGTTTTTTTATATGTTTTATTTTTTTCAAAGATACAGAGCAGTCCTGGAAATTAATGAACGCACCTTGTATTTCTCTTTGAAATAAATATTGACTTTTCACAGAAAAGAAACTCATGCGGTGAAACTTTAAGTGTTGTTTTATAATCATACGCAGCAGTCCTTTATAATGTATTATAAGTTACTTTAAGTATTATTTACGAACGGAAAAATACGTCCAGGGTAGCCTAGTGGACATGGCATCTGCCCGGTAAGCGGAACGTTGTGGGTTCGATTCCCGCCCCTGGACACTTTTATTTTTCCGTTCGCCATTACTCTTCATATTTTCACCCTTTCATACTTCATCCAAAAAAAAGTTAGAAATAGTAAATATTTCTCTTTGAAATAAATATTGATTTTTCACAGAAAAGAAACTTATGCGGTGAAACTTTAAGTGTTGTTTTATAATAAAAATATTGTTGATAATAAAAGACCAACAAGGATTTCAAAATCTTAAATCAAGAATAGACCGAGAAAAAGGGGCATTTCCTGATCGTGCAAATAAGAGTTGCTGATGACTTGCGCCATCTATCGGAATAAATATCAAATAATCATTGATTTTTTAATTATTCCAGAATTGTCCAAAATACCGTTTCTTGATTAATTTAGAAAAGCTAACCACATTCTGGTTTTCACTTCAATTCTGGAATAATTAAAAAAAATCAACGATTAGTTGATATTTATTCCGATAGATGGCGCAAGCCATCAGCAACTTTTAGTTGCACGATCAGGAAATACCCCTTTTTCTCAATTTATACACCTGATCCAAGTACAAATTCACTTTTGTATTATTTTTCACAAGAATAGACTGTCAAAAAAAGCCCCTTTTTCCTATTACTAGCAAGATAGTAAAAATGGAGAAAGATTTGTAAAGAAGATAGAAAAAAAAAACCTAAGATATGACAACACGAGGGCAATAAAAGCGATATAATATATTTGCCAGCTAAATAGGGTCTAAGACAAATTGATAATGATATTAACACCCTACAATGATGATGATTACATAACCTCGACGCCAGGGGGCGTTCCCAATTTGCATACTCTGTATATATCTTGCCATAAATCCTATGTACTTACTTTTTTGGATAGTCTTCCCTTCATTTATATTTCTGTCATATATTATTGATACACTATCTCTTCTCTCTTCTTCTATACTACTTTATATTAAACTATTTTACCTTTGTTTGTATGGGGCTGGTAGTCGAGTGGTGTAAACTGTCGGTTTTTGACAGGTACGACCCGGGTTCGAATCCCGCATTAGACACTTTTTTTTCTGCAAAAAAAAAAAACCCCAAAGAAACAACTTTAATAAGCTTCGATTCTTTTAAAAGTTTCAACCTTATCAATGAATGCAAATAACCAAACAGGGCTCTGACACACAGCTGTATGTTTATATAAAAAAGGGCGATCTGTAAAGAATAAAAAAATCAAAATTTTCTCAAAATATTTCGAGAGATTGTTCTCTTTATCAATTTATTGCACAGTTATATTGACTCAAACACCTGAAAGTGAAAAAGTCGAACTGCTTTACACATGCGTAGACATGTGGTACACTTGGAGTAAAAGCAGTCGCTAACTATTAAACGCCATGATAATCATTGTACCGTAGCAAGTGCAGCAAGGGGATAACTACAAAACCACTTTTATGTACCTTACTAGCGGACGTACCCGGCTTCGCCCGGGTTTTACCCGAGTAAAGGTTTGTCTAACGAATCTCTCGATAAAGTGAACATTTTCCCCCGGTCCCTTGAAAAATACTCGATAAGTTGAATAAAATCAATATTAATTTTGGTACCCTCGATAATTGGAAGTTAAAGGAATATTATCTTGCCTTGGAATTGTATCATTATTCTTGTCTCAAATAAATTGCCGTGTCATCCTGAATTTTGTCTTTCCTAATTTTCTACATTACAAAATCATCGTATCATCATGATAATATTTAGAGTAGATTGTTGAATTATAACAGATAAATTAGAATATTTATCTTGATTATTTTTAGGCGAAAAGTTATTTCAAAAATTTTATTTGCTAGAAACCTTCCCAGTACTATACTAAATAACTTCCCAAAGTTTCATGGCGTTCCAATGAGTGGTTTGGTCAGGCATAAAGGACACACACATACATTCATTTATATATATATAGATTATACCAAGTTTTCTCCTGTAGAAGGGTGTTCGTGCCTGAAAGATAGAGAATAAAAAGGGCTTTGAAAAGATACTTTTCTTTGGAGGGCTGATATTTTTGCTCAATACCTTTATGTCTATTTATATCTGTGATTTTTATTATGTTTGACCACTGACTAATGAATTTTTGTTTGTCTAGCAGCCATAATATAACTTTCCATTTTTGCATATAAAATGTTTTGCCTAAAAGGGAAGCCAATATGTATACGCAGGAGAAATACATTTTGATTTGAGTAAAGTCATTTAAATATAACGAATGAAGACATTAAGACACGAATGTTTCTTTTAACAAATGAATCAAATTTCTACTGTCCTTACTGCTTCAGTGTAGCATATATAAGCAGAATGATCCAATACAGTATTAGAGCTCTAAAGAAGTGGTCTGGTAGAAACCACTGGTGGGGTTCACCACTGATAAGCCAAGCACTCCCAATATTTTTTCATCGCAGTAAGGATAGTAGAAGTTTGATTTATTTGTGAAAAGAAACATTCGTGTCTTATTGTCTTCATTCGTTATATATAGATGGCGCGTTATTGCTTTGTATTTAATGTCATTTAGATTTATTGAGGTTGATTAGAGTAATAAACTAGGTTTTGAAAGAAGAAAACTCTTTTGATTCTAACATAGGTTATAGAACGGTAAATTCTTTCAATATGCAAATAAAATATAAATAACAAGCAAACTATTTTTCGAATAAAGACTCCATTAAAAAAAACTAAAAATCGAAGCAGACGAAGCATATTAAAAGAAGAAAACATAATTTAGTTATTAATATATATTTAGGGTTACGAAGAGAATTAATATTACTATAAAACATCAAAAGATAAATAAATACATAAATATTTTTGAAGTATTAATTTGAAAAATAATTTTTATAAGATATAAAACGAGGGCCAATAGCCCGACACCTGTTCGTGGATGGCTTTTCTTGATTTATCAATAAAATGGGTTGGCCAAATATCAGGAAACAGGCTAAATCAACGTTTAGTTGATTTCTGTTCCACTAGATGGCGTTCTGCCATCTAAAAGCTCATGTGAGCGATGAATTTTACCCCCCCCCCCCCCCCACAAATATATGTTGTAATATATACATATAAATTAATAGAACCAAAATACTATCAGAATAAGTCAACTTTTTTCAACATATATGTTGAAAAGCGTCTAAAAAGTGAAAATAAACATTTTTATCTCTTTAAAAAGATAATAGGTAGGAATTTGAAATTACGATGTTAAACGGTGGAAATTACCCCTTTATCCCCTAGAGTTGATACACTCTAATGTTGTTGACCCAATAAATCCAAAATCTAAGGAAGAATAAAATTATTTCGTTGTATTTATTGACGAATTTTCTAACTGAACTATGATTTGTTTTATGAAGAACAAAAATTGAGGAATATAAAACTTTACAAAAAATTCCAAGGAAGAAAGATAAATACATTGTCATATGATAATGAGAAGTAAATCGGAATTTGATGAATTCCTTGTCAAAAATGGTATTAAAAGTCATCTGTGTTTCAAGAACTCAACAAACTTGAATATCTGAGAATGAATCTAACCCTAGTGAGATCTGTTAGATACTTATATTAACAGAATCTAGAAGACCAATTATTTTCAGGGGAATCGCAATATACACAATGTGTTATTTGACAAATAAATATCTCCAAATAACTTTATTAATATCCTATAACACGATATCCTAAACTCAGAGATATTTGCGTCAATACATTTCTGACATCATAACAAATTGGCTATATACACTGCGTGACATTGAAAATGGAACACCAAGAAATAGTGGCCAGAAAAGTATGCAAATTTCAGGGTAGACGCGCCTAACCGAGTTATGCAAATGATGTAAAATGCGCAGCTCTCGTGCGCACATGGAGTAAGATATAAGGGAAGGAACTTGCAGAAAGGACAGTATTCGTGTCGTTATTTCTTCAAGGAAAATCATTGTAGAGATTTTGTTCTTGTGTCAAAAGACACGTGTAATAACAGAGAATGCCAGGTCATCGTAAACGGAGGCAGTTCAAGCAGACAGACGCTTTTACGAGGGGCATGGTGATCGGACTGAAAAGGGCAGGTTGGTCCATACGTCAAATCGCAGCTGATACACACCTTGGTGCGTCCACGGTGCACCGACTGTGGAGAAGATGGTTGGAACAAGGAAATGTGCCAATTTATAGGAATGCCGGTGCAACCAGAGTGACGTCAGCACGTGTGGATCGGCGTATCCTTCGACAAGCAGTGGCGGCCCCACAAGCCACTTGTACCGCCATCCTGCAACATGTGCAAGACACCCTAGATCATTCCATCTCGACCAGAACCGTTTCCCGTCGATTGGTTTGCTAATGGCTTGCACTCATGCCGTCCGCTAAGAAGACTGCCATTGACCCCACCAAATAGGCGCCAACGTTTGGAATGGTGCCGGGCTAGATCGACGGGGATGACGGAATGGCACAGGGTCGTGTTCTCAGATGAGTCGCGTTTCTGCTTGTCCAGTGATAGTCGCCGTGTACGCGTGTGGCGTCGACGTGGAGAAAGGTCCAATCCGGCAGCAATTGTGGAACGCCCCACGGTGCGACAACGTGGAATCATGGTTTGGGGCGCAATCGCGTATGATTCCAGGTCACCTTTACTTCGTATTCAGGGCACTATGACGGCCCAACGATACGTTGATGATGTGCTGCGACCGGTGACACTCCCCTACCTTCAGGGGGTACCCAATGCCCTTTATCAGCAGGATAACGCCCGACCGCACACTGCTCGCATTAGCCAACAAGCTCTGCAAGATGTACAGATGCTTCCCTGGCCACCGTACTCTCCTGATCTCTCACCAATCGAGCACGTCTGGGACATCATTGGACGCCGTTTGCATGCCTTGCCACAGCCGCGTTCAGAAGACGAACTGTGGCAAATGGTTGAGAGGGAATGGAGAGCCATCCCTCAGGACGCCATCCGTACTCTGATTGACTCTCTACCTAGACGTGTTGCTGCGTGCATCGCCGTCCGCGGTGGTCCTACTTGCTACTAAGCCGACGCCGTTCTCGCTCTGTATTATGACTATCATTTTGAAATAAAGATCACTTATTGTTCGTCCCTGTCTCTCTCTGTCTGCCGAGTTTCATCACTTTCTGGCCACTATTTCTTGGTGTTCCATTTTCAATGTCACGCAGTGTACAAGGAGAAAAGAGACAAATATACAAAAGCAATATCTCCAAATAAACAGTTAACAACAAATTTCCCCAAATTAATCTGGTCTGGAATGTAAATCCAAAAATAGATATTTTGAAGTATTTTAAATGTATTTTGGTGTAACGTTGATGGTTACCATGGCAGATCTAAGTTTAATCATATGGCTAGAGAATATGTCTGTAATTTTATTATTTTTGACCAACGACTGTAATATTTTTATTTGTCTAGCAGCCATTATCGGAAATATCTTTATTTACGGGGCTGCTAACCAAACTAAAATATAGCAGCCATTATATACCTTTCTTATTGTGTATAATATGTTTTACCTAAAGAAATATTATTGTAAAAGAAGAAAAATTTGCTTATTCTAACAATATTTCAGCAGGAAATATAAGTATTGACAAAAATTATTTAAGTAGTTGAAACTTGACCCCCGAGAATTTATTTTATTATATAAGGATATGCTTCCATTTATTATATATAGATGGCACTTTATTGCCTTGTAATTAAATATACCTAACTGGCCTTGTACTTATTGTTTGCAGAAGAGCATTGCTCGATGTAAATATTTATATGTAATTCTGCTGTCCTAGAAGCTTATGTCCATAGTTTGCTTGAATACTAAGATTACAACCGTCATTGCAGCCTATATAAGCAGAATGATCCAATGCAGTATTAGAGCTCTAAGAAGCGGTCTGGTAGATTAAATTGGCGAAACCGCTGGGAGGGTCCACTACTGATGAACCAAGCTCTCCCAATATATTTCTTCATCGCAGTAAGGACAGTAGAAGTTTGTTTTCTGTTAAAAAAGAAACATTCGTGCATTATAATGCTTCCATTTCTTATATATGAGGATATATATAAATGGGGGAGAAGTTCAGGCTTTTA